AACAAAACCCTCTAATGCTTGAAGATTCTCTAACGCTGCAACCATTTGAGGAGGGTAATCCATGGAAACAACATCAACCACAATGTTTTCAACTAAACTTTGTTGAAGCTTCTCGATCCCTTGAGAAAGAGCATCCTCTGCTTGTTGTGATGATTGCTGGAGGTTTCTCACTTCCAAGACTTGCTGATCAGTTAATGGCTGAAGATAAGGCATCACAACCTACAAAACCAAACAAAAGTAGGTTTTGGCAAACTAGTGTTTTGTACTAAGATAGTAATAGAATGTTGAGAGTTTTACGTTCAAAAGCTCAGATGGACGAAACCCTCCAATCCATTGGAAGAATCTTTCAGTAGAAGTTCTCCACATTCCTGATATCAAGTAGAAAACATCGGCTTTGGCTGCATCAGATTTCATGCGGAAGAGGTTGGCGTAATGGTTAAGGCAACTTTCTACAAGCATCCTTAGTTCTATGTCGCTTATGTGAGCGTGAAGGGCTGTTCGTAGCTCGCTAACTCTCCTGTTTTGTTCTTCAAGCCAGTGTGAATATTCCATCTCAAATGTAGCAATCCTTGTGTTTATAATGCTTCCAGATTGTATTGAACTGCTTACACGTAATCCCTTTTATAAAAATAAATAAATCGTATTGAGTTAAAATATGAAAACAACATAATTAAAAACAAAACAGAATTTCTTAAAACAATATGTTATGGGCTAAGCTTACTTGTTGCTTAGCCTTTTCGAGTTCTTGTTCTAACTGTGATAACTTTAAACGACTTTCTTCTAGCTGCTGAACATAAGCCTGAAGGAACCAATACAAAACATAATTAGTAGTAGTAATTAGCTTACTCGTGTTAGATTCAGTGCACACTACATATGCTTTACCTTCTTTCTCAAGCGACTTTTGCGAGCAGCTTCTCGGTTCTGAGCTAAACGCCGTTTCATCTAGTAGAAAACCGAAATAACTAGTTATAGTAGGCATAAAGGGACTCAATAAAATATGTTTTTTATACATATGTTTCTAAAATACTTCCCTAAGTTTCAATAAAAAAAAATAAAAAAAAATTCAAATACTAGTTCCAAAAATCAAAAAATTCAATTGAAAATTTGTGAGTTATCAATCCTTATAGGTGGTATGAACAAAAATAGAGAAAAAAAAAAAAAAACTAAAATTTGGTTAGAAAAGATGCTTTATATGTTTGTTTCAAACCTTATCATGAGTCTTTCCTTCATCATCATCATCATCCTCCTGATGATCATTACTAGAAGGTTCTGCTTCAGTCTGGTTATGAGAAGAAGAAGCGTAATTGGACTGCACATTAATTAAACCATTAGCAAAAAACACACACAACTAAAAATATTTGAGAGAAGTATTATATATATTTATAGTAACCTTGATGATGTTGTTGTGATCATCAATTCTAGCATCCACTTGAATAACAGAGGAAGAAGCAGTGTTTGGACTATGATCATTGACATCAGATTTGTAAACATTCCCCCAAGACACAAGTTGTTGAAAGGGTTCATAGATTCCCATGTCTCTTAAAGATGCAAGTTGAGTTGGAGAAAAAGAACTCATCATCTCTATTTTCTCTAACACAACAACCAGTTAATTTTTCAGTCTCTTGACCCATAAGTATAAATTCAAAAGACTAAGAAGGGTTTTGCCTTACCTTAAATTGTAGATCCAATAGCTTGCACCAAAATTATATTAGCTCACTGACACAAACCATAAACAGAACAAACTCTTCATCATTTCTAATTTTTAAAACTTGTAACAAAGATTGGACCCTTTGTTCTTACAAGATCCAAGGGTAGAAAATTAGAATAATGGAGGAAAAGTTTAAACACACCTTTAACGAACAAGCAGAGACATAATTCCTGATGAAGTTTAAGTTTTGAGGAGTAAAAAAATACATTTCTTGGTAATCTCTGGATCAGATAAGGATATTTTTCATTCCAACACAGAAAAATTCTAAGGGAAGGAGAAGTGTTTTCGAGTTTCTTTGGACACTTAGAGTAAAGAAAATATACTTAAAGGTCAAGCGTTCTCATCATGGTAAGGAGATGATAAAAAGGATATTTTCTTTGGTTTTTGGCCTTTTCTCTTTCTTTTATATGTGTCCATCAACATTAGAATAATCACCAATTTACATGTTTACCACTTATCAAATTATTAGAGTAAAGAAAGAAAAAAAAAATTTAGGGTAAAGAATCCCATAATATTATTAATCATGTTTATAAAGTAACGAAGCGTTGAGATGGCTGATTGAAAGCAAGGAGGTCGATAAGGGGTGGGAGATAGCTGCAGTTTTTGGTTCTGCTACAAGTTAAAAGGAGCTCAAAAATCTGAAGGAGGCGTTGAGTTCAAATTTTTTTTGAGTTTTACATTTTGAGTTTTTACAGTTAAGAAAAGTAACACATGATGTAACAAGGATTTTTCTTTTTGAATTAAATTTAACATTCAATTCAAAAAAAAAAAAAAAAAACGAAGCGTTTAAAGATGAGTATTTCTTTCACAAAGCCAAAGGGTGACGGGCACTCGTATCTGTGAAGTACGCACCCGATGATGTCATCGACCAGAAACTCTTCTACAGTTCTATACTAAATACTTATTTTTTATTAAATTATCTGGTATAAAAAAATTAAAAAGAAAACACTAGTTTAACATACAAAAGTAAAAACATTCATTTTATTTTGTAAATTTGAAATAAACGACTTATTTACATCTCGAATTATCTAGAAACCGGTCAGAGTTCACTATAATTCTGAAACCGTTTTCACATCTTTTTGTACATGCATGCTCATGGGTCTGCAAAAGAATCAATCTCATTTACAATTTTGGGGTGGTCCATAAGGTTTTGCAGTGGCATCTTTGTGCCAAGCCTTCTTCCCTGACTTAGTGACAAATAATTGGAGCTTTATAACTGGCCTACCAGCACACAGAAGATAACATTGTTAAACCTCTCATTTATTTAAAATTAGGGATCTTAATTAGTTTGGCCACCACTTGTGTAATAAAATCTGTTTGTTCGACAAAGACAAGCATGTCTGATTATTTTTTATCTAGCTTTATTTCCTGTCTTGGTTTTACTTTAATAAAGAGTCCATCTATAAATGTTTTTCAATTCATATAGTATATAAAAGAATAACAATGTTATTGCATGTATGATACATATCTTGGCTTGATTCATTAAATACTGTATCAAAAAATTTCAAAGCCTTTCTATCATCTGATTTATTTTGTAATCAAACTGAAGAACATGGATAACCATATCATCGTAATATGGATTAGATAACGGAGTATTACAGTTTACAATCATGTGAATTCTTTTTTTAGTATGTAAGTGTGCCTCCAATTATGGTATATCATTCATAAAATCTCAAGACGAAAATTATTATTTGATGTATAGGTTATAATATAGGTTATATGCATGCATTACATATATATCATCGTTACGTGTTGTATTTGAGAAAGAAAAAGATGGTATGATCACAAAAGTTACGTAACACACATTTCTACTTTAATTCATCACGAAGACACCAATCTTCCACTATTATCGTTATATTCTTTCTTTCTTTTTTTTTTCTCGTTTATGACCATGAAAGTTAAGCATTTGATCGATTTCTCCGTCATCTTTTCTGTACTTTTTTCCCTGTTTTTTTTCATTATTCTCAAGTACAACGAAAATTATCTCAAAGAAAAAGATAAATAATGAGAATTATAATTAATAAAATATAATTATGATTAGAATAAACTAGAAGATAATCAAGTCTGTTATGCGTAGGAAGAAGAACCAAAGAAATATCGTAGAGCAAATCAAAATTGCGAATATCTCATGCTCTGAGATTCTTGTGGATGAATGATCATCAAACGTTCAAAAAAAGAAAAAAAAATGGATGCGAATATTAGTAATATTGCTTCAAGGAGAATGCTTAATGTTCTCTATATATAACAAATTAAACAAAAGGGGGAATATAAGAAATAATATTAAAGTAGGCATATATAAACACTGTTATATATATACTAATTCCTTTTATATAGACCGCATGTCGTTCAACGATTCGAACTTGAACTGAACTGGGACTGATTCTCTCTTCGGATCCCAACAAAGAGAGAGAGAACAGAATAAGATTCTTTTATGCTGGTTCGTGTTGGTTAATTACAACACGGTACTCATATAAGTACAACAAATATGATTACAAAACTCTTACGGAAAATCTTAATTTAACACAAAATTGAAATGGTAGTCTAAATTTATTTAAAAAAAAACTTTGTTCACCTTTAAAATAGTAAATTAAATTTGATACAAAGTTTAACAAAATTGTTCAGTTTAAGTATTTTGTCATCAACCCAATAAAATGTCCAACTAAGTATTATCACCCTCCAAGTTATAATCTAACGCTCTATAATCACCATAACCTTTTATATATATATAGGAATTTAAGAACAATTACGCAAATCTGTAAAAATCAGGATGATTACATACATAATAATAAAATCAGAAGAACGCATGTAAGCAAAGAAGCACTTGCAAAAATAAATTTAATAAATAGTCTTTTTCCACAAGAATTATGAAAACTTTAAAATCAAAGGAAGTGGATGGGCTCATATAATTGCTTTTGTTCCCATTGTATGGTATGAAAAAGGGGGTCATTTTCATTGTTGAGTGACTGAAAAAAAAAAAGTATTTGTACATATATTAATTATTGTTATGGTGGTTTTCGTTCTTTTTAAAGCCCAAACAAGCCCGAGGATATTCTCAACCACTCAACGTCACAAGTGCACATAACATTTCATTGTTGTATCGTATCATCAAACACCACAAAATATTTACTCCATGTGGCTCTTGAAGCAAAAAAGAGTGAAGCATTGCTAAATAAATTGCTATTATAATATATCAACTCTGACTGGTCGACATCTAGATAAAAATCAAAGCTTCAAGATTCAGAGCAAAAGAAAGCAGACAAACAGTTGAGTATAAATATACACATGATTAACCAAAAAAAAACAATGCTAGCCAGAATTAAACCAATAAATCAAATCCCATTATCCCAATAATAATTACAACATAAGGTATCAAGAATTACATAATATACACCATTAATGTTATTCAAGGACATGCCTAGAATTGAAGATGCCTTTGGGTATGAACAATATCGACAATCTGGGTTCCAGCTAAGATGTGTTTTTCTAATGTGTTGGATCTTTGGGTGTACAATATAAATTTTATCATGTCATAGTTATGAAGAATAAAACAAGTAGAATTAGTATACCTTGAGATGTTCAATAGTCGTTGGGATAATTGAACTTCATAGCTTGATGTGAAAAATGAGGATAGTCAACCAAATTCCACTCGCCAATAGAGCTAGGATCTCGATTTGGAACATTATAATAGCTATTGTTGTTCCACTACAAGACACATATAAGAAAGATAAGAAGAACTACATCCAAATGTTACTATTGAATTAAAAGGTTGGTGAAGGTCGAGAACCAAAAGTCATACCGACGTTGGCTGAATATGAGAGCTGTTCAGCATGGTGCTGGAACTTGAGGAGTTCAAATTCCACACTGATTTGTTTGGCTCGTGTTTTTGTTTGTTGGAACTATTAAACACATCAGAGATGTCTAAATACAAGTTTACATATATAATAGTCATGAAAATTTCGAAGCATTTACCTTGACAAACCAAGAGAAAGAGCGGACTGAACTTCCTTGATTGAAGATAATGTGGTCAGCAACTTTGCAAATGATTCAAAAGTCGAGGCTCCAGAAGGAACTTCCATGGACAGGGAACTGTATCCATACACTGTTAAGTGAGCCACGCTTTGCTTGAGATGTGCGATCCCTCTCTGCACATTTCTGAACGTTTCGACAGAGTGAGGAGAGGAAGAGGAAAGGTTGACAACGTCGAGGTCATGATAATCTTCTTCTACACTTCCATCTGATTTCAGTGAAGTCACACCAAAATTGGTTGTGTCTCTACCCGTCCATGAACTTTTCCCTTCATTGGAGTAGTAATCATGGGATGGTACAAAGAGAGGATACTCATTGCTGCAAACAAAATAAACAAAATTGTTTAGATCTTTAAATGTAATGGAGACAGAGAAACAAACAATCAGTGTAATGTAAAATATGGTTCACCTTGGAGAAGACGGGTGAGATTTCCAATAGGAATCTCGTTGCCATATTCTTGAACAAGAACCCTGAGACAAAAAAATGACATAATCATTCAAGTTCCATAACATATAGTTGATGTAAACGAAATTATCTCTCAAGCGTCTAAAACACTGGATTAATGAGTGTGAGTATAAGTGTGTGTTTTATTTTCCAAAATTGAGGCAACTGTTTAGCATATAATCGAGTTAAGGATGTGTTGGCATTTACCCCAAAACCCAAGTTATGGAGCGCAGGCACTGCGAGCTTATGGACAACAAGATTCAGAAGCTGCACCATGTACCTGATCCAACCACCAACCATGGGAATGTTTATTAATCAAAATACATAATGAAATATAAATGATAGTTATGAGTACAAGGTGGCATGCAGGAGTATAAGATGCAGTGAGGGTCGTGCCACAAAATGACAGTTCAAAGACAAGGTCGTGTGCTGTGTTACCCTAAAGAAGCTGCGAGCTCTTTTGGCGGAACAGAGAGTGGGTTGAGACCTTGTGGAAGGAGAGAATTGCAGATTTGATCATACTGTCCAGTACCCTCATGTTGGTTATGGCCCTCTAGCGTCACCTGAGCATAGTTAGATTTAGTATAACATCCCATAAAATGTGTTTGATAACAACAGTAGTTTAGAGAAAGTCCAAGATTGCCTCAGGAAGAAACAAGAATTATTTTACCAAAATCTTTAGTAAAGGACTATATATTTGTTTTATGGAATATGTATATAGATGCTTGCCAATTCGGAAGTTGTTGACAAAAAATAACACTATTTCACATAAGAACCTCTACTTTGATCTGCTTACCTTTGATAGAGGGAATAACTTGCATATCTGTTTCATAACCAAAGCCTGTTTATAAAGGCGTTCTGAAGTAAGCTCGATCTGTAAACAACAAATGTTGGCTAAGTATGAGATTCAGCAAAAAAAAAAAAAACTTAAGAAGCAAAACATGACCACATGAGTTATAGCAAAGGACTACTTCAAGCATGGAAACTCTAAAGTATTATGAGATATATAGATCTTACATAGACCAAGTAGTGATTGCCAATAGTATCTGAATAGTGGTTCTCCAAATGTCGAACACGGCTCTTCTCCAACTGCAGAGAATAGAGAAAGAGATGAGACTGTTTATATCAGCTTCACAAAACTCCTTTTAAGAAAAAAAAAAAAAACAGTCACATTACAGCAACATTAGTCGTTTCAATAATCCCATATCTCTCTTTCAGATTGCTAGATAATCTCCGAAACGTGCTTTTGCCTGCATCATACACCAAATATCAAGACGATAGCTCATAAATAAACTCTTGAAGAACTGACTATCTTCATACTTTTCTGTAACTTCTCCACTTGTAGCTCGAGCTTATCCCGCAACTTAGCAAGCTTCTCATTGTGAAGATCCATCCAACACTTCTGAATAATTGCTTTCTCCTGTTTGAACAAAAAAAAAAAACTCAAATCTCAGATCAAAGAACTTTCAAAACTCTTCAAGCAAAATAACCAAACCTTAGTAACAAGCAAGCTACTCAATCTCAAGTATGAAACCTCTCGACGGCTCTTCAACGATTCCACCACAGTTTTGCATTCATTTAAACTGCACAAAAGTGTCACACAAAGTAAACCTACATAATCTATAGAAGAACACCATCGAAACGAAGCAGCATACCTCCGATTAACACAAGCTACGCAGATCGAAGCACGAAACGATGAGTAGCACACAGCGCATTTACTAGATCTCTCCATCGATCCTTCTCCGACGCAAGCTTTGAGATCTCTCTAGGTTTCACCTACGCAATCAATCTGTTGATTCCACAATATCTTCCTAATCAACACACCTATATATAACCAAAATCTAAAGTTCGAGCTAATCGCTACACAAGGAATCACTTGAATTTTAGACGGAGGAGTTAGTTATCAGCGATGGGAGACGATCGGTGAGAATCGGGCGGTGGATTTGACGGGGGAAGGTTCCGACGTGGACGGAGATAGGTTGCGTCTCTGATGTACGTTTGAGGAGGAAGCGGGAAGATTTGAGAAGCGAGGAGGAAGGTTAGCGTCATTGCGTGGGGCTTTTACAAAAGAGGATGGAGAAAGGAAAGTAAGTCTCCAGACTTTTTCCGAAGTCAATTACGTGCACATCACCTCCCTCTCTGTATTTTTCTTAATTCTTACGTTTTACGCTTTTGGTCCCTTTTCTTTTATACTTTCTTACTTCTCATCTTTTTTTTTCTTTTACTTCTTATCAGTATCATTTTACACTTTAGTCCTTTTGATTTTCTTACTTCTTACTCTTGGTCTATACTCTTCTTAGATGGTTACTAACTTTTGATGTTGATAATTTACCCCAATGTTCATGAGTGTTAGGAACGGGATACAAAATTTGTATACAATTATTTAACTTGATGATCTTCAGTTTACTAAATTTGTATAAATATTTATCTATCAACCCATATCACGTGTGTTATCCTCACATGTTATAAACTGAAAAGCAAATATATTTAGATTGTTCATATGTATAGCTAGAGTTTTTTGTTTAATCATGGTTATGGTTATGGTTAAATTTAAATTTATTTACTTTTTTTAATTATAGTTCAAGAGAAAAAAAACAAAGATAAAGGACGCCAGCGAAAGATTAGACGGTGGAAAAGAATAAATTACTACATAAAGCTTGTTGAAAAATTGAACAAAACAATATATTTGCTTTTCAGTTTATTCGTCTTAGTTAAGCGAGTAAAAAAATAGCAAAATACTGGAAAATGAAAGCAGCAAAGGGCTCCAATACAAAAAGCTTTTTTCTCACACGACTTGGTACTCATGAGTAACCAGCTCCGAGTTCTACACAAACCCACCATCACCTCTCAGAGCGATCACATCAGTCACATGCACCAGCGTTCTCATTAGTATGCCTTAGTTGATGCAAAGTTAACGGAAATGGGGAAAAATACTGATGGATGTACTAGTGGCACCACAAACTCCATTGACCCATTGTGTTGGAGTTGTCAAGGAGAATGTGTCATTACAGAATTGAGTTCTTTGAGTGGTAACTGATCATATTAAAGTCCATAAAACATATTTATGGGATAAGATTTGATAAAAGAAAAAAAAAATAGTTATGGGAGAATGAAGATAAAAATATTTAAACCTATTAAACAGTTGTTTTAAAAAATATTTTAAGATATCATACATTATAAATGATGGATTATTCATGTAAAAATTTTGTGCATTTTCTTTTCACCAAAAGTAGAGTATCAAGAAAACGAATTTGAGGTTTCTGAATTTTGAAAAGAAAGATTTGTGGTTAACGTACGAAGAGATTTTTTTTAACCATGGTTAAGATATATTGATCTCTCGAAGTATTTCACATTAACTGTGGAAGAGAAGCTCAATGTCACATTGAAACGAGATGATGAAATCAATAGTTTGATATGCAGATAACCATGTTGATGAAATCAATAGTTTGATATGCATATAACAATGTTGCTTCAGATTCTTAGCCAAGATGATGTGTTTTTTCCAAGTTAAGGTACTCATTTCTTATTTTAACAATTTCTATGAGTAGTTTTCGAATACATCACTGTTGTTTATTTTAATTTTCTTATCAAATTAAAACCGGTGGAAACCCTGATATTTCTTTTAAGACTCATCCTAACATCAATTGAGAACTCTTTGATAGCAAGCGCATTCTAGGCTTTAAGATCATACGAGTCGACCCACGGTGCCACCAACAAGTAATTAGTTTTAAGTTTTTCTAGATTATAGGATTTATAGTTCCTATGGAGCATGTAGATATGAGATTAAATCTTCTAAATATGAACACTATAGTTACTGTTTGTAAATATTCCTTTGCAAAGTATAATGTTGTTAAATTAGACACCAACCAAACCAATTGTCACAAAATATATAAGAATATATACTATATTAATCAATACATGAAAAAATTAGCTGGGTGCATTTTACGAACACGATACATTCTTTGCTTCAGAAAAATAATAGGCTTAAGAATTCTTTAGATATTGGCATCAAAACCAAATCCAAACCGGATCTTATCCAAGCTTGCCGGTTAGAGAATCGCGAAGAATAAAAAATTCTGTAAACCAATTCTAAACCGGATTTTAGCGTTTCGGTTTGTTCTGAAAAGCATTTTCCCGCCACGTTTTTAATAAAACAACCTTCTCTCTCTATCACTCGTCGTCTCCGATCCCTAACCGTAATGGAGGTTACGACGGAGCCAAAGATGCAGATCATCGATGAAGCATCTCAACACAGCCTCTCGTTTTCATCCCCCATCGCCGGCGATCCAAACTTGGACAAACTCCCCTTCTTCCGTCACCGCTCGCGGCAGATCAAGCGCGACACGTGGCTTGTCTCCGTCTTCGTGCTTCTCCAGATCGTCGTATTCGCTGTGACTATGGGACTCAACGACTGCTCCAGAAACTCTAACGGTCACTGCGCCGCCAAATTACTCGGCCGATTCTCTTTCCAGCCTCTCTCCGAGAATCCTATGCTCGGTCCCTCCGCTTCTACGTGAGTACCTCTCTCTCGGCGCGAGTTTCGATTTTGTTGTATCTGTTTCTGGAATCGATCTCAATTTTGAATGCGGAAGATCGTATAGTGTTTGATTTGTGCGGATCTGCTTGTTTGCTACGTTCTGTTTGATGAATCAATCGAAACTAAGATACATATCGTAGATCTATAGGTTTAAGCGAATTGCTTCTAGCGACTGGTTATCAAGCTCTGTGCATCATATTTCATTGTGAGTTTGCAGCTTTGAACACATGAGAGATCTTTACTGGAATGCTCTCGCGTTCTAATAGTGTTTGATTTTTGTGGATTTGCTTGTTGCTACATTCTGTTCGATGAAGCAATAGAAACTAAGATACAGATCGTAGTGCTGCTGATTCTTCTTAGATTTGCAGTGTTTGACTTGTATGGATCTGATTGTTGCTACGTTCTGTTAGATGAATCAACAGAAACTAAGATACAGATCGTAGTGCTTCTTCTTCTTAGATCTATTCGTTATAGGAAACTGAAGGAAACATGTCGTTTTGATGCTTCTGATGACTGATTATGAAGCTTTGTTCTTCATATTACACTGTGATTCTGCAGCTTTGAACACATGGGAGGTCTTTACTGGAATGGTCTTGTTGAGAAACATGAGATTTGGCGTGTGTTGACATCTCCATGGCTGCACAGTGGATTGTTTCATCTTTTGATAAATCTTGGGAGCTTGATTTTCGTTGGGATATTCATGGAGCAGCGATACGGACCATGTAAAAGTCCACTTCTTCACTTTGATTACATCATCTAGTCTATTTTATAGTCTTCCTTTTGGTTTTGTAGTGAGGATTGCAGCTATATACTTCTTATCTGGCGTTGTGGGAAGTCTCTTTGCTGTGTTGTTTGTTCGAAACATCCCATCAATCTCTTCTGGTGCTGCTTTCTTTGGATTGATTGGAGCTATGCTTTCTGCACTTGCAAGGAACTGGAACCTATATACCTCCAAGGTCAAAGGCTATCTTGTGTTTTCTTCTTGTCTTTAAGCTCTTCTGATTGTGTTTTTTGTGTTTGCTTGCTCTACAGGTTTCAGCATTAGTGATAATACTCACGATCACCACAGTCAATTTCCTGATCGGCTTTCTTCCTTACATAGACAACTTTGCGAATATTGGCGGTTTCATATCAGGCTTCCTTCTTGGACTTGTGCTGTTATTCACCCCACAGGTGAGAGAGGACCCTCCACCTCACAAGGGAAAACTGTTTGAAGATGATATGAGAAGTTCCACAAGGCTTAAAGAAATGTTTGACAGACCGGTGCTAAGGATTGTATGCCTGGTCTTGTTTTGTGGAATGTAAGAATCTCGCTTAGTTATGATCTTCCTTCATCTCTTTGTGTTCTTGTGATATGAAGAAAGCGTATCCATCTTTGTCTTTTTTAGACTTGCTGGGGTTCTAATAGCAGCGTGCTGGGGCATTAATCTGAACCGCTATTGCAATTGGTGTCGCTATGTTGACTGTGTTCCAACCAGGAAATGGAGTTGCAGCGACATGACTACTTCCTGCGAGGTTTATATCATCTAAACCTTAAAGCTCTGCGTGGCACTGATTCTAAAATTCGAGTCTCTTAAACACACAATCATAGTTTAATATGTGTGAATTTGATAGGCAATGGTGAGTGATGCTCAGCTAACACTAACGTGTATGGCCAATGGAAAGTTCCGGATATTTCCTTACACCAATATATCACAAGCCAGGACACAAGATCTTTGCACGCTCGTCTGCACTTAAACATGACCAGGTTTTAACTCCTTTGTACTCCCTCCCATACTTAGATAATTGCATATAATACCACCAAAAAACTCTCATACTATAATCCTTAGTCAAGTATCAGCACTTTTGTGGCATATAGCAGTAATGGATAAGAAGGTAAGACTTGTAATGAAACGATCGCATTGGTTCTTGCTGATACTATGAATGTGAATACTAAAGTCTACCAAGTTAGGTCCCATATGAGGACCCAGTAGCCGCATTAGTGGCTTACATAAACTTAACACAATCCACATCATATCTACGCACACATGACACACCAGTATGTATAAATATTCAGCTTCTCTTTACTTAAATGTATACTTTCTTTTTTTATATATGCTTTAGGAGAAAGAGTGATGATGATGATAAATAGGTGTGGCTTTGTGGGTCTAGTAGAATGAGAAGAAAAGGGCCGACCTTGACACAGGTAGAGAGAGATAGAGATAGGGCCACTAAAATTGATTTTACAAAAAAAAAAGTAGAACTGAGAATGTTACACATCATATTAATATGTAGACATAGCAGAAGGAAGCCCATACTGTGGTCCTGATTCTCATTAACCTACTCAACTGCCTACATCACTATTGGTTTAATTACTCCCTATCCTCCTCACAAAATATGCATTTTTACATAACACAAAGTTTCCTCTATATAAATTTTCCTTTTTGTTGTGCTTTGTAACATGTTTAAGTCACTCGATTTCTATCAGATTCACCTTAGTTACTTATAGCCATACGTGATTTCATTTGTTCATTACAATTTCGAGGATTAACCAACTTGCCTATAAACGGGTGTGGAAAACAAAACGACGAACCATAATGAGTTGACTTTATAACTTTATCCGGTTAAGAGGGATGTAGCCAGAAATGGAACAGATGGTTGTTGGGGAATTTAGTTTGTCAGCTTTATTTCAAGTGTGCCTTTTATTTTTGTGATTAACCCACAAACCAACACAATTTTGGAACTCTTCTTTTTTTTTTTTTTTTTTTTTTTTTTTTTTTTTTTTTTTTTTTTTATTTTTTTTTTTTTTTTTTTT